ATTTAACGTGGTCCTTTCTCACTGTGTGTGAGGCTTACGTCCACGGGAGAAGTCGATGATTTTATTGCTTAGTTCGGCGCTAGGCCAGTACAATGCTCTTTATACCCTATTCGTCTAGTACCTAGGGTTACAGCAGCATACATATCATGGGTATTCAAGTCCTTGGAGGACTCAAGTTGTACGTGCACTGCATGGGCAGCTGCGGACCTTTGCTGGGCTGAGTCCTCAACACGTTCTCGGCCCAATACTCCCCCGCAAGCTGGAGCGTGGAGGTCACGAACATACAACTTGGAAAGAAGGAAACGAAACCGTGCAGCGCCAAGCCCCTTAGTGAGTAGGTCGGCGAGCTGAAGATCAGTGTGGACCTTGACGGGCAAGATGTGACCTGACTGAACTCGTTCTTGAACAAAGTGACAATCCATTTCCACATGCTTAGTGCGTTCATGGAAAACAGGATTGTTGGCAATGTGAAGTGCCGCCTGGTTGTCACAGTGTAATGGTGTCGGACCATGCTGGGGAACACCAAGCTCCTGTAATAACAAGCGCAGCCAGAGGATCTCGCTAATGGTGCTGGCCATGGCACGGTACTCAGCCTCTGCCGAAGAGTGTGCTACTACTCGTTGCTTCTTTGTGCGCCAAGATATGGGAGCTCCACCCAGACTGATATAGTACCCAGTGGTGGATCGTCTAGTGCTTTAGCACCCGCCCCAATCCGCGTCGCAGTAGGCTGTGAGCTGCAGGGGATTATGATACGGGAAGTAAAGTCCCTGGCCTGGCGATTGCCTGCTTGTCCGCGTTCCTCGAATTTATCCAAGTGACCATGAGTATTTTTGTAGTAGACTAAGCAGCCAAAGACGAGCAAGTGGCTATAGGTTGGCTGTTTGCCAAAGAGTAGCTCGAAGGGAGCCTTTCCGGTGGCTACCGTTGGCAATCTGTTGATTAGATAAACAGCAGTGAGGATGCACTCACCCCAGAAACGCAATGGCAAGCTTGCTTGGAATCGAAGCACCCTAGCCGTATCCGGGATATGTCGGTGTTTTCTCTCCACTACTCCATTTTGCTGCGGTGTGTCTGTGCACGATGTTTGTAGTAGTATACCTTCACGAGCATAGTAGCCGCGCAAAGACTCTGAACTAAATTCAGACCCATTGTCTGCCTGTATGCGTCTCACTTGAGACCGAAACTGTGTCTTCACCATCTGGAAGAATTGCAACAAATGATTCTCAACATCCGACTTATAGCGCAACAAATATACCCAAACTCCACGAGTGAAATCATCCACAATCGTCAAAAAATAATGGGCACCACTCAATGACGCAATCTTGTAACCTCCCCAGAGGTCTACATGAATTAGTTCAAAACTGGTAGAATTTTTAATGGTACTTGACTGAAAAGGGAGACGAGATTGTTTGGCCCGTGAACAGGAGTGACAGGGACCTTTATTCGACGGTAAACTAAAAGACATCAATCGACTAACATATGACTGTTTCTCCGGGGAGGGGTGTCCCAACCGCGCATGCCAGTTGGCCTTCTCCACGGACCTCTCATGCTGAACGCTGCAAGCCTGTGCCTTCCCAGCTCCAAATAGGCGCAGGTAATAAAGACCATCTCTGAGCTCACCTTTCCCAATCAATTTCTTGGATCATAAGTCCTGGATGATGCAAAAACCATCAAGGAATATCAAAGCCATGTGGTTATACCTTGTCAATCTACTCACAGAAATCAGATTACATTGAAACTCCGGCACGTAAAGTACTCGATGCAAACAAAATCCAGGCTGTAGTACAACTGAACCCACGTGTTTTACTGGAATGCTCTCGCCATTTGGAATTCGAACTGACTGACTATTAACCTGTGCCTCTTTACCCGACAACAAAGACTCATCCATAGTGATGTGCTCATTGCACCCGGAATCAATCAACCACTCAGTAGTGCTAGAGAAAATACCTGCCATATGGGCTGCTGGATCATGTTCATCTGTCCCCTTTTCCTGCAGGCCGAAGAAGTGTTTCAGTTGATTGAGCTGGGCTATTGTGCAACCCGGAACCGGGCTTTGGGCTGCCTCGGCTTGAGAAGCTCGCGGCTCACGACCCTGCTGCTCGACCCTTGCACCATGATTTGGTTCTCTAGGCCGACGTCTGGGTTTTTTGCCTTGTCGATCTTGGCGATCACCTCCTTCATGTATTTCGCTTTGCCTGTCCCGAGGCGGATACCCGATTAATTCCCAGCTAGCTTCCCTGAGGTGCCCTGTCTTCTGGCAATGAGTGCAGCGAACCCGTTCGCGTTGCTCCCCCGTTCCACGAGCCGACCGATTATTTTCACCATGAGCTGCAAAGGCAGCAGCTTCGGGTGAGGCCTTTCGATTCTGTGAGATCAGCTTCTGCTGTTCTGTGTTCGGGACAATGTTGAAGGCTTCGGGCAGGTTGGGAGTCGGCTTCATGGCTAAGACTTGGGTACAAACCGCCCCAAAAGCCCCTTCATCCAATCCCATCAAAAAATCGATCAACCGCGAGTGTTCCTGATACTCCCGAATGCGCTTGGACACGTCACAGGTGCAGTGTCCGCAATAACAGCTCGGAAGAGGAGCTATAGCTGACGCCTCTTCCCAATAAGAACGCAGCTTGGTGTAGAACAACGAAACCGATCGTTTTTCCTGATGCAATAGACTGATTAACCATCGCAGCTCATAGGCGCGAGAGGAACTTCCTTGGCCAAACCTATCGCGAAGGTCAGACCAAATCTCCAGGGTCGTTTCCGCGAAACGAATGCTGCTTCGAATTTCCTTATCCATCGAAGTTTTCAGCCACCCTTTCACCATTGCGTTACACCGAATACAGGCGTTCTTCTCCGCCAGATTAGTGGGCTTGATCAGCGTTCCATCCATGAAGCCGAATTTGTTTTTGGCGAGTAGAGCGTCCTTCATATCAAGCGCCCACTCTCCATAATTTGCCGACGTTAGAACTTTGCCTACCAGCATGTTGCCCGGTCCATCCAAGTTGCTCAGTTGATACACCGGAGGGAGATCAGGGTCTGAGCTGGTGGCGCCGACGTGAGTCTTGTTTTTGGCCTCGGTCTCATCACTGTTCACCATGATTGACGAGTGCCAACTGCGGATATGGTTAACCTAGAACCAGGCTCTGATACCATGAGAAATAGTGCGAAAACCTAAAGGACACGCGATTTAACGTGGTTCTTCCTTACGGTGTGTGAGGCTTACGTCCACGGGAGAAGTCGATGATTTTATTGCTTAGTTCGGCACTAGGACAGTACAATGCTCTTTATACCCTATTCGTCTAGTACCTAGGGTTACAGCAACATACATATCATGGGTATTCAAGTCCTTGGAGGACTCGAGCTGTACGTGCACTGCATGGGCAGCTGCGGACCTTTGCTGGGCTGGGTCCTCAACACGTTCTCGGTCCAATAAGCAGCGAGCGGATTGGCGACTTGGCGTCATCAAGCGCCAATTGGCGATCGAGCTGTTCAGAGAAGCTTGAGCTGATTTCAACAAAGGTGATTATTTTGGTTGGATTTCCTATACCAAATTAGTTGTTTATTGTTGATTTAGAACATGATGATCAAAACTATATCGATTTATCTCGGTTTCATCATGAACTAAACCCCGATTTCTGGGGGAAACACCATAGGATGTAGCTATTTCTTGATTTGATGGATTAATTCATATTTCTTTTCTTCCAATCTCTATTGCAAGAAATTACTTAATGCTTTGTGTTGACTGGCCACCAATACATTGATTTGTTGTTAATTAGGTTATTAGCGACAGTGAAACCCTAATAATTGAACATATTTCATGTGACATAGTAACTTATCGAAGCGACAGTGGATTAAATAAGGTACTATGCGGTCTTGATTGGGATATCGTTCTTCAGGCTAAATAGTTAATTCATTGAGCTACGACAGTAGGATTTGAATTAATTGTTTAGTACGTAGTAATTCCCGACAGGGATAGCTAGCACATTAGTGATATCCTGGCTGTAGAGAGTTGGATTAAATTGATTGGAATATGTGAATTAGTACATAGTAATTCCCGACAGGGATAGCTAGCACATTAGTGATATCCTGGCTGTAGAGAGTTGGATTAAATTGATTGGAATATGTGAATTAATTTTGATATGATAGGTAGTGAGTCCCGGTGTTTCTCCCAGAGCTTTCTCCCATTGATTTCAACCCGACATTTTAATTTGCTTAGTTTGTTTAATTATTTTGCCATTAGATAATAGTTTCATCACTCAAATCATTTTCACCTATAGTTTGCTCCATAAAATTGATAGAATGTAAGGTTGTACCAGTTCCTGAGAGACGATACCCGGAATTTCCGGTTTTACTACAAGATCAGAATTGAAGCATTTCACTTTTGCTCTATCAGTTGTATGCAAATATTGTCCAAGATGTAATTGTTAAGCGTTGTCTAATTGAGCCAAATTCAAGCCAAGCCAACTTATTTATGCAGGCCAATCTCTCCGACTCCTTTTAATTGACTTTCATTCATCTATCTTTTCATTTCCTTTATTTTATGAAAATAAGAGGAAGTAATTGTTTTTTGGCTGAGCGAAAATTCAAGCGAGTTGGAGGTTTCTTTTGTATTGGATCCAATAGGCCTCCACTCTTTTGTTATAACCATTGTTTTGCCCTCTCCAACCGATTTCTTAGTATCTGATACTTTCCCCTTTTGACTCCCCTGTTTTCCTTACTTAATTCCCCCTATTGATCTTGTTTTCCATTTGCTTCTTCGTGTGTGCTTTCTTTCCCAATCTTTTTCTTTCCTTTCCCGACGCTAATATCTCGGAGCTGTTCTTGTTTATTTCCTTTAGTTGTCCCGGAATTGGCGCCTGACTTGTTGTTATTTTTTCATTATAACGACGAGTTTTACGGACGACCTGCATCCATGGCTAGTATCCCACTGGTGCTTCCGACGTCTCTGCTACCGGCGATGGGCTAGCGATTTCTGTCTCTCCGTCGCCGGAGGAGGTAGAAGAGATGGTTTCTTCGATGGAAAATCCTTTTCTGTATGCCCAATCTTTCTGAACTCGTAGCATATCGTAGGTATGTTCTCATATAAGACTTGCTGCCAAGCACAGTCCAAACGAATTCGTGTCGGAAGAGGCCTTGTCATGTCCATATCAATGGCGATGTGTGCAAATTTGCCCCTTTCCAAATTCTCGGTGTGATAATCTAGCTTCACCGTTCTGCCCACAAGATTTCCAATTGCAAATAGCACTTCTCTGTGATAAAATGGACTGGTAATTCTAGGAATTGGACCCAAGCAATGACTGATTTGTGTGGTTTGTTTGATGTCCGGAAGGAGGGTGACCATTGATGTACCACCAGATAGTGATCGAGGATTAACCAGGGTCCACCTGCCTGACCTCTCAAGTAATCCTGATCGTCGCCAAAGGTCGCGAGGAATGTATCGTTGTTCAGATCCATGATTTCAAGGGAGCTTACTGGTCTCCACTTCCACCATAGCTGGACACAGAGATAAGAATACGTAATTGGACGACCTAGCAATCGAACAATAAATGTTTTCCTCCGAGGTTGACAGAGCTTTTCATTGAGTTTGTTTGATAGTTTCAGCTTCGGCTCTCCCTGGAAAAGCCAGGTTTCGATGTCGTCTGCGGCGACGTACAACCATTGCATCCCTTTCCTGCTCGCATCTTGATTGATGCCTGCAAGTGTCGCCTTAAAATTGAGTGGTTGGTTGCCGGAAGTGAAGATAGAATCACTTTTTTCTGTTGCGCTAATCATATTGGTGTCCGGTGGACGTCCTGAAGGCTCTGAGATTGTCGTCGGTGTCGGTGATGGAGAAGAAAAGAGGGCTTTCAGAGAATTCATATTTCTCAAACTTCAGAGATAAATATTCGAATTATCAAACATTTAATGGAGTATTTTCATCAGTGTCACTGCATTGTATTTTCATGTTAATTATGAGTAATTTTGTTTGCACTAACAATGCAACACCTATTGTGATTATTATTGACTTTCATTTATCAATAATTTTGTCTTTGTTCGGCTTTCCTTTTTAACGGTTTACAACAACGTTGTTAATTTTTTTAATATGTATTATTAATGACTTATATTGTGGTTATTAACACATTTTCCTACTAATCGGTATCATATTCATATCCTTATTAACCGATGGGTATAAGTGTATCATTGTTTAATAAAGAATTACTAATAATATGTAGTATGGTTGGCGATCATTAGATCCGACCATTTATAATAATTCTTCTTGCACTTTAAACGAAATGCAACTTAATGATCAATATTTTTTTGTACAGTTGTGGGTAGATGCAATCATTATCAATGATTGCGTGTATTTTCAAATGCAATGCAACTTAGTTATTAATGGTTTAGACTGTCTTATTTTTATGTCAATTTTTTATGTTTGTGATATGAAATGACACAAGCTTATTTGTTCAAATTGGATTACTTATATAATAATAACATATTTTTTTGGATTTTGTCTTGGTGTAGGTTAATAACATGGCACAAACTAAGAATATGTCACATACGAATAACTTGCCGAATTGGAATATTAACGATTATGTACTTATTCGTAGTAAAAAAAACATATTTATTCATGATTCTGAATCAATTTTAGTGTTGCTTAATCATTATTGATTAATACTATTATTAACTCGGATGCACGATATTATAAATGCTATGCAACCACGTAGCAATTCTCCTCCAAAACTATTGGCACCGAAGCCAATTCCCCATTACTGGTTCCATGCTATAATAATCAAACAACAATTGAATAAAGGCAACATCATGCTTTACCTTTTGACCCACGAAATTCAAGTCTCCCACCATAATCAACTTTTGTTTTCTGGTGACGTGGAACAATAAAAATGGAAGGGCAAGGGATGGTGAGAACTTATCTTCTAAATCCTGGCAAACTTATCTTCCTTGGTTTTCCTTTCCGAGCTCAATGATTTATGTGTCCAAAACCAAGGTGCAGTATGTCTTGTGGCGATTTCAATCTGATCAAAAGCCACGATGACTACATCGAAGGGAGAAGAAATTTAGAGATTATGAACGAATTCAATTCCTTTATTGATACGAATGGTCTTCTCGAGTTACCCCTGTGTGGTAGCAAATATACTTGGAGTCATGGAACGAATAGAGAGTCCATGTCTCGCATTGACAGGGTCCTGATTTCCCAAGATTTCGACAGCTTGTACCCGGATTGTACTCTTACCGCAATAAACAGGGTGGAATCTGATCATAATCTTCTAGTGATGAGATGGGGTGAGGATAAGAAAACAAGGAGGCCATGGAGATTTCAAAATATGTGGATGGAAGACAACAGATTCTTCGTGGAACTGAGTAACTGGACATCAGAGAGGGTCCAGGGGAGGGGATGTGTATTTCTGCTAGCAAGAAGATTGTCTCTCATCAAATCCAAATCAAAAGTATGGAACAAAGAAGTTTGGCAATATTGACAAGAAAGTTGAAGATCTACTTGCGAATTTAAAGGAGTTAGATAGGCTGGAGGAGGAAAGGCTTTTGACAAGGGACGAGGAAAACAACAGAACCGGTTGGGCTCTGGATCTCATTATAAATCTGTACCTACAAGAAATGTGCTGGAGACAAAAATCTAGAGAGAGCTGGATCAAATTGGGCAAAAAGAACACAGAGTATTTTCATAAGATGGCGAATTTCAGAAGAAAAGTGAACTACATCAGCAGGCTAAATATCAATGGCAATACAGTTGAGAGAAAAGATGAAATCGAAGAAGGCATTGTGAACTATTACTAGTTCCTATTCCATTAACAACAGAAACATCGACCTTTTCCTATTCATATGGATCTGCAGGGTATCAATGAGGGGGATCGTTGGATGCTGGAAAGACCGTTTACAAAGAAGGAGATATGGTTAGGTTTGCGGTACTGTGATGGAAGTAAAGCACCTGGCCCTGATGGTTTCAATATGGAATTCTTCCAAAAGAGTTGGCAATGGCTGAAAAATGAAATTCTCAAGGCTTTTCAAGATTTTCATGAGACAGGTTTCCTCCCGGAATGTCTCACTCACTCTTTCATTTGCTTGACGCCGAAGAAAGACCATATAGGAGATATCAAAGATCTCAGACCCATCAATCTGATTGGGAGCATCAATAAACTAATAAGTAAATTTCTTGCTAGGAGACTCAGTCTGGTTTTGCCTAAACTTGTATCCCAACATCAATTCACGTCGGTTAAGGGGCGTTAGATTTCGGAAGCTGGCCTTATAGCTAATGAAGTTGTTGACAACATAAGAAGGAGTAGGAAACCCGGCCTTATGTTTAAGCTGGATACCGAGAAGGCCTTTGATAATGTGAATTGGGAGTGTCTATTCAAAAATCTCAAGGTTGTGGGTTTCTCCGAAAAATGGATTAGATGGATCAAAGGTACAATTTGTTCTCCCCTAGTCTTAGTACTCGTGAATGGGGAAGCTAAGGGTTACTTCAAAGCTTCTAAAGGGCTTCGACAAGGGGATCCCTTGTCTCCTGGCCTGTTTGTGCTGATAATGGACATTTTGTCCTGGACGCTGAGGTCCGCCAGAGAAGCAAGGAAGTTTGAGGGCTTTTACATGAATGAAGAAACCAAAAGCGGCGAGGTAACCCATCTTCTTTTCGCTGACGACACCCTTATTTTCTGCGATGCCCATCATGAACAGGTCCTGAAAGTTCTTGCTACAATTGTGTGTTTCCAATCTGTCACCGGGTTGAGAATCAATCTCGACAAATCAGTGATGTATACAATTGGAGACGTAGCTGACCCCAGTTTCTTCGTCGCCATATTTGGGTGTAAATGGAGTAGCGAGCCTCTCAAATACCTGGGTTTCCCGCTCGGAGCTAAACCAAACGACCCTAGGATTTGGGACTCCTTACTCAGTAAGTTACATAATAAGTTGAATGGGTGCGGAAGCAAGCTCTTGTCTTCTGGTGCGAGACTCATGCTATGTAAAGAAGTTCTTTCTAGTATGCCGAATTATGTGTTCTCGTTGTTTAAGGCACCATCATCGATTATCAAGGATATGGAGAAGGTTCAAAAGAGGTTTCTGTGGAATGGTAGGGGTGAGACTAAGAAAATGGCGTTGGTGGAATGGAAAATGTGTAAGTGTGAGAAGAAAAAGGGCGGACTTGGTATCCACGATTTAAAAGCTTTCAATGACGCGATGCTATCTAAATGGTTGTGGAGATATGCAGTTGAAAGAGACAGCTAGTGGCGGCAGTTAATAGCCATCAAATATCAACATCCTGATTCGGCTTGGCAAACGGAGAGAGTGAATCATGGGTCTTCACAATCGGTTTGGGAAAACATTTCAAAGGAGTATGATCTGTTTTGGAACTTCGCTACATTGGAGCCTGGTAATGGATCGTCGATTTCTTTCTGGCATGACTGCTGGATCCCTAGGACGATTCTGTCTAAGTCATTCCCCCGTGTTGCTGCCGCTGCCACAGTCCCCGATGCGAGGTTATCCGACGTTGTATCCCTTAACGACTCTGATCAGGTGAGTTGGTCTATTCCTATGAGATTCAATTTAAGGGGGGGTGCTGAGAGAGAGAGAATATAATTAATGGAGTTTCTGGGAAACATTGGTCTAACTAATAATCTCTACAGCCCTTGTAGAATTGTTTAGAATGCTGATTCTAATGGCAGGTTTTCGGTGAGATCCCTATACAAAAATCTGGTGGAAGACACGCTTCAAGGAAATCAAGAATTCCCTCACAAGAAAATCTGGAAGACAGTAATACCAAGAAAAATTTGTTTTTTCTTGTGGCTCGTGTATCAGAACAGAATTCTTACGGTTGACAACCTGAAGAAAAGAGGATGGTCGATGGCGAATAGATGTTACCTCTGCCTCGACAATGAGGAGACGGTAGCTCACCTGCTCAAAGATTGTGAATTTGTAAAGGAGGTTTGGCAAGTTCTAAATCGACACATGACTATATTGGATCTGCAAGATAGTGATATACCATCAATCATTAAGAATCACACAAACAACAAGCTCGACAGTGTTGAAGATTGGTTCAAAGACTGTATTTTGCATTCAGTATGGTGGCTAGTTTGGAAGGAAATAAACCAAAGGGTGTTCGATGGGAAAGATTCAACAGCGTATTCAGTAGCAAAAAGAGCAGCTAGAAACGTAATGGAATAGATTGTAGCACATGGGAATATCGAAAACAATCAGGTCGAGAGCTGGTTTAGAGAAGTGATGGAAGGAATCTGATAATGAGGGTGGAGTTGGCGATCTGTCCTCTGGGGAGTTTGTACGAGTCCGAAGGTCTGTATAGCCTGTCGATGAATCCAGCGATTCTGGACGTTCCTGATCCTGAGAAGGTTCTGAATCAATTTTGTGGATGCTCCTGGGGGCCGTGCTTGTTTTCTTAGGCCTGTCCTTGACCTTTTTCTAAGTTTCTATCTTTGTTTCTCGTTCGTGATGATTCGGAGCAGGGTCGATCCGG